GCCTCTTTGAAAGATGGTTTAGCGACGGCGATCTCTTACAAAACTAAACATACTCATTCCATACTTAAGATCCAGCAATCATACTCATTGATATTTACCCAAATGAGCTGAAAACTTATGTCTACACAAAGGCACATGAATGTTTATAGCACTTCATTTATAATTGCCTAAACTTAGAAGCAACCAAAATGTCCTTCAATAGATGAATGGATAAATAAACTGGTACATTCAAAACTGGTACAATGAAATATTATACAGTGCTAAAGAAAAATTAAATATCAAACAACCAAAAAAAAAAAGGAAGAATCTTAAATGCATATTACTAAATGAAAGAAGGCAATCTGAAAAGGCTCCATACTATGTGATTCCAACTATGACATTCTAGAAAAGGCAAAACTATGAAAAAAGTAAAAAGATCAAAGGTTACCAGGAGTTTGTGGGGAGGGAGAAATAAATAGGTGGAGCACATGGGATTTTTAGGGCAGTCACCTATTCTATCTTATTCTATAATGGTGGATACATGTCATTATGCACTTGTCAAAACCCATTTAAATGTACAACACGAAGAGTGAACCCTAATGTAAATTATGAACTTCAATTAGTAATAAGTTATCAATATTGGCTCATCATTTGTTAAAAAAAATTTAAAAAGTAAAATAGCCAAACTTAAACTTAGATTTTTGAGGGCCGACCCCATGGCGCACTCAGGAGAGTGTGGCGCTGGGAGCGCAGCGACGCTCCCACCGCGGGTTCGGATCCTATACAGGACTGGCCCGTGCGCTCACTGGCTGAGTGTGGTGCGGGCGACACCAAGCCAAGGGTTGCAATCCCCTTACCAATCACGAAAAAGACAAAAAAAAATAAAAAATAAAAAAAATAATAAACTTAGATTTTTGTTACATTTTTTGTCAATATTAATAATAAGCACATATTAGCCAGCCACAAAAAAAAAAAAAAGAAAAGAAAAAGCAACAGCCCATGTCAAATATCTGTGGGTATTGTATCTTCAAGAATAATCTCATCTTCCACTTGAGATCACGATTTCCTCTTTATTTGAGAATCTTCTGTTGTTTACGTAACTCTTCCTGTTCTTCTAGTATCTTGTCTAAATTAAGTCTTCTTGTTTTAACAGCATTTAGCTAGCATTCCCATCATGTATCCAAGAGTGGTTTGTAAGGTCCAATGTGATATGGGTTTTTCCAAGATGTTTCATCTTTGAGCAGATCCAGAATATTGTACATAATTGTTTTATTGTTCCAAAGGATGGCATTACTATCAGCACATTGTAAATTGGGTCTCCTAATAACAAGTTCAACTATGTGCCATACAGGGCACATGGCACAAAAAATGCTTCTAGATTTTTGGCCAAAATTCTGGCTTGTTCACCTTTGTCTTACTGACCATGTCAGTGCCATTATCATGGACTTGCCCTTGACAATCTTTTAAATCATAGGTCTGGCTGGTTAGCTCAGTTGGTCTTTAGAATGTGGTGCCAATAGGACCGGCCTGTGGCTCACCTGGGAGAGTGTGGTGCTGATAACACCAAGGCCACGGGTTCGCATCCCTATATAGGGATGGCCAGTTTGCTCACTTGGGAAAGCGTGGTGCTGACAACACCAAGTCAAGGGTTAAGATCCCCTTACTGGTCATCCTAAAAAAAAAGAAAAAAAAAAAAAAAGAAAAAAAGAATGTGGTGCCAATAACACCAAGGTCCAGGGTTCAATCCTTCTGCTGCCACCGGCCAGCACCAAAAAAAAAAAAATCGATGACTAAAATTTTAAGTAGTATTTTTTTCCTCCAGTTCTTTCCTTAAGTCAAAACAGGGGTTAAATACACATGCATGTTTCATCTAGACCTACATATATACAAATTTTAAGAGAGAGATGAATTAATATTGTAAAATATTCCTCAGCCAGTATTGCGAATATTGTATTAATATCTGTGTACTTCTGGAACCACAAATTGAAACAGGAAGAAAAGCAAGAAGGATTTGACCAGTTAAGTAATTTATCTCTTTTTCTACCTAAGTGCTTCTATTGCTCAAATCCTCCCCTGCACAGCCCACAGACCTTCATGGCATTTGGACACAGTCACCTCATGTTTCCAGGACGTGGGTTCTGACATGTGCACAAGGACTTCTCTGGGCCTGGCTGGTGTCGTTACGAGAACGGATGTTTAGGGTTACAGGCTCTGCTGCATCAGAGCAAGCACTGGATCCTGCTTGACAAAAGAACCCATGAAGACATTTTTTGGTATGTTTGTGACATGTGGGGCCCTCTAAAGCTTGAGTGGTACTGGGAGGGAACAGGGTGGAGGAGACAAGAATGAAAGTGTCGCGGCTCAGAAACTGATACCCCAAAGGCCTCAGAAGCAGCCTCAAAAACAGTTTTTCCCTGACTTTCTTCTGCCTGCCTGCCTCTCAACATCATTCTCCCTGAGGCAAGCCATAGAGGGTAGAATCCCTCTTCCCCAAGGAAGGTCATAGAAGCCAGAACCCCTTTTCCCCAAAGCCAGCTATAAAGACTAAAATTATACCCTAATCTTCCTCCTCCCCACTTCTCCATCTTTCTGTCTTGGAGCTGGCCATAAAGAAATTTTTGACCTACTTGGTTCGATTGTAGGTCGTAAGACCCCCATTCCAGAAAGGGTCTTGCCCCATACCCTGGAGGAAGGAATACTACACAGAGAGGCCAAGAAGAATCTGACAAGCAGGCCTTGATGGGTTTCTCCACTCAGTCTATTAGCATTAGATCGTACTTTTCTTGTCCAATCACATTTCTACATGACTGTCCCTGCTTCACAGAACCGAAGCATAAAAATGGACAGTTTTCCTTATATCTTTGGGTCTTCATTCTGAAGGCTCCCGTGTCACGTCAAACTATGATCAAATAAATTTGTTATGGCCTTTTTCCCTATTAATCTGTTTGTCGGTCAATTTTTCAGTGAACCCTTAGGGGGTTGATGGGGAAGTCTCCTGTGGCCTCTACAAAAGGAAACCTTCTGTGAATGTGCATTTTTATATAGTTGTGACTTTGGGACCCTGTAAATGTTTTGCATAATTAAAAAACAAAAATAAATTAAAAAATCCAACTCTTGGGCCGAGCCCGTGGCACACTCGGGAGAGTGCGGTGCTGGGAGCACAGCAGCGCTCCTGCCGCGGGTTCGGATCCTATATAGGGATGACCGGTGCGCTCACAGTGCTCACTGGCTGAGCGCGGTGCAGCCGGTCTCAAAAAGAAAAAAAAAAAAAAAAAAAAATCCAACTCTAAAACCATGGCAGTAATATAGGTTTTACTGAATGCTTGATGGGAAGATGAAGGGGAGAGTTAAAGTGCACACACAGCATGAAACAAAACTCCTGAATTAGACATTCTTTCCTGTTTTACCCAATCTCTTAATCCTCACCCCCCAGCACCTCTAAAAATCCTTTCTATTTTGTCCCAGCTAGAATTTCTCACCAAGCAAAACAGAAGTCCTGCAGTTAGCACAACTGCAGAAACCAGTGTTGCTACAGCAGGCCCCCGGAGGGCTTCTTAACCCCACTACATTTTCCATTATAAAATTCTGCAAGGGTAGTGCCTCTAGGTGATTCGTTTTCTCAAGATCTGGCTTATTTTCTTCTCAATCCCTGGACTCACACTGGCTTCCTCCCCAAAGTCACTTGGAGTCTTCGTCACTGCCCACAGCTGGATTTCCAGCTGGTTTTCCTAGGAGTCAAGGGTGTGGCTCATTAAATGTGGCTTTGGACTAGTAAATCTCAGATCTCTCAAAGGGGAATTTTTGGTCCAAATCTAATTGAAATACTCTCTTAGAGGATCCTGCCAGCTCTGAGATGGCCTTTTTTCTTGGTAGAAAACTGGCCAGTAATTGCACACAGTGCTGGTGCAGCAAATTTGCTGAGTTTGATTTAGGGCACATTGAGTGTGAAGTGCCAGTGAGAGATACAGGAGCTGTGTCTGTCCAGGAAGCAGTTGGACTGAACTTTGCAAGAGAGGTACATGCTGAAGACACAGATTTAGAATGCATAATGTATAAAGCAGAGGAGATTATGATGGAAACAGAATAAATATGGGAAAGAGTAACGTCCCAGAGGCCAAGGGTGGAGGACGTGGTCAGTGTGTCAAGTGCTGTAGGAAGATTAAGAACAAAATAGTGTTCAGTGGACAAGTAAGATCCCTGAAGAGGAGAGGGCAGAAGTGGTGAGATAAAGTATCTTGAAAAGGAGGTGGGCATTTTCCCTAAGACTTGAAACTGAGGAAAGAATGCACAGTGGGACAATAAAAACATCAGCACCAATAACCACACAACAAACCATGGTTTGGGCAGAGGGATAAAACTAATCTTTAAATTATTCTCCCTTGGTTAGTGAGATTAACATTTTGTGCTCAGAGCTTGGATTGGGCTGGGAGTAGAAACACATTATTCTGGGGCCAGCCCGGTGGCGCACTGGATAGTGCGCCGCTTGGGAAGCGCGGCGGCGCTCCCGCCCGAGGGTTCGGATCCCACATACAGACCGGTTCCGCTTGCTGGCTGAGCGAGGTGCGGGGGCAACACCGAGGGTTGCGATCCCGTTGCCGGTCCCGGTCCAGTGCGGGGGCGACACTGGTCCCGGTCCAGTGCGGGGGCGACACTGAGGGTTGCGATCCGTTGCCGGACACGGAAACCGATTGGCCGCAGTTTGTCGTCTCTCCCTCCTTATCACGCCTCTTGCTCCACCCCTTCGCACACAAGATGGTGGCGCCCAGTGGAGTAGAGGCCGCACCTGGGGTTTGCTAACCTGACTCCCTCTCCCACTCCCCCTTTGGGCGCCAAACGCCGCGAGCGGGAGGACGGGGGCCGGGCGGGGACAGGGGCATCTGTGTAGCTGGGCCGCGAGGTCGCGCCCAGCCTGCGCCGCCCCCACCCGGCCCCGGCCCGGCCCGGCCCGATCCCATCCCCTACGTTCCCGGTCTCCTCCCGGTCTGACCCATTGCCCGGCCGTGGTACGCTACACGAGGCCTCCAGAGCTGAGGTTTCTCCTCCAGCCCGGGCTCGCCTTCACTTTGGAGATATTTGGTCTCTTCTCTCCCAAGCAGCCCGCCTTTCAAAACTAGGACTCTTGGACTGGCACCTGACGCCCTTTCCCTTTGCTAAGACTTCACTTCCCCGTAACCCACCTCTTCCTCAGATACTTGGTTCCCGCTGGGTTGGAGACTGCTCTCTTTCCTTCCAAACTCCCCCCACCCTCCAAAATATTAACAACCTTGACAACTCCCTCAACCGAGAAGCCAGACTTCCTTTTGGACTAATCTCCATAGGCCTATCATGGAGGCTGTGTACCTGGTAGTGAATGGAGTGGGCCTGGTGCTGGACGTGCTGACCTTGGTGTTGGACCTCAACTTCCTGCTGGTGTCCTCACTCCTGGCTTCCCTGGCCTGGCTCTTGGCCTTCATCTACAACCTTCCGCACACGGTACTGACTAGTCTTCTGCACTTGGGCCGCGGAGTCCTGCTTTCACTGCTGGCCTTGATCGAAGCCTTGGTTCGGTTCACCTTTGGGGGCTTGCAGGCCTTGTGTACTCTGCTCTGTAGCTGCTGCTCTGGCCTGGAGAGCCTAAAGCTCCTAGGGCACCTGGCCTCTCATGGGGCACTGCGGAGCCGGGAGATACTGCACCGGGGTGTCCTCAATGTGGCCTCCAGTGGCCATGCTTTGTTGCGCCAGGCCTGTGACATCTGTGCCATTGCCATGAGCCTGGTGGCCTATGTGATCAACAGCTTGGTCAACATCTGCCTCATTGGCACTCAGAACCTTTTCTCCCTGGTGCTGGCCCTGTGGGATGCAGTGATGGGGCCTCTGTGGAGGATGACGGACGTGGTGGCTGCCTTTCTAGCCCACATTTCCAGCAGTGCTGTGGCCATGGCTATCCTTCTTTGGACCCCCTGCCAACTAGCTCTGGAGCTGCTGGCCTCATCTGCCCGCCTCCTGGCCAGCTTTGTGCTTGTCAATCTCACTGGCCTGGTGTTGCTGGCTTGCGTGCTGGCAGTGACAGTGATCGTGTTGCATCCGGACCTCACCCTGAGGCTGGCCACCTGGGCACTCAGTCAGTTCCATGCCCGGCCATCCTACCACCGGCTCCGAGAGGATGTTGTGCGGCTGTCTCGCCTAGCACTGGGTTTGGAGTCCTGGCGCCGAGTGTGGAGTCGAAGCCTGCAGCTGGCAAGCTGGCCAAACCGGGGAGGGGCACCTGGAATTCCCCAAGGTGGACGTAGGAGGATGTTCTCAGCCAGGACCCAGGCACAGGACACTCTGCCTGGAGCAGGGCCCAGGTCAGAGGCAGAAGAGGAGGTCAGGACCGTCAGAGCAACACCTGCCTGCGGCCGAGAGAGGCTCAATGAGGAGGAGCCTACAGCTGGGCAAGACCCATGGAAGTTGCTGAAGGAGCAAGAGGAACGGAAGAAGTGTGTCATCTGCCAGGACCAGAGCAAGACGGTTCTGCTTCTGCCCTGCCGGCACCTATGTCTGTGCCAGGCCTGTACTGAAATCTTGATGCGCCACCCCATCTATCACCGCAACTGTCCGCTCTGCCGCCGGGGCATCCTGCAGACCCTCAATGTCTACCTCTGAAAACTCCCTCCCTGCCTGCCCACTCCTTCATGATCCACACAGGCACCTGTGCTAGGACAGCACTAACACCTCATTTCCAGGTCCTGGCCTGAATCCCCTCCTGTCCGCATGGCTGTCATTCCAAGCCTCCAAGCCATACATGGGACATCGAGATGGAATTCTCTGGAAGACTGTGGTCTGGGTGGGGACAGGGTAACATAGCTTCTCCTTACCCAGTGGGTCCGTTTGATGCTGAGGGTGGTGAGTATGTCACTATGCAAGGGTCCTGAGACTGCCGTGGGCTCTCCTCCAGCCTACCCTGGGCCCACCCAGATGCCAGTCTCTGGGGCTACCTCTCTCTGCTTCTGGTTTTTCTTTCTTTCTTTTTTTTTTTTTTTTAAAAAAAAGATGACCGGTAAGGGGATCTTAACCCTTGACTTGGTGTTGTCAGCACCACGCTCACCCAGTTAGTTAACCGGCCATTCCTATATGGGTTCCGAACCTGGGGCCTTGTTATCAACACCGCACTCTCTTGAGTGAGCCATGGGTCGGCCCTGCTTCTGGTTTTTCTTTTGGGGATTTGTACGTCCTTTCCCTGCCTTCCCACTTTCTCCCCAGCTTCTGCAGTGGCCATTCCTATATGGGTTCCGAACCCGGGGCCTTGTTATCAACACCGCACTCTCTTGAGTGAGCCATGGGTCGGCCCTGCTTCTGGCTTTTCTTTTGGGGATTTGTACGTCCTTTCCCTGCCTTCCCACTTTCTCCCCAGCTTCTGCAGCCACAACACATAGGTGTTATTTGGGTGTTTTGGCAACTCAAGGACCTTGGAATGATCTTGAACCTTTGTGTTCAGCCAGAGCCCCTGTACCCTGGTAGCTTTGGGGGTAAGATCTCGCAGGTGCTCTCAGTGCCACTTCTATCTGTCATGATCTTATAAGGTTCCCTCCCAACTTGATCCAAAAGCTGGAATCAGGAGTTTACCCCTGGAGGGGTGCATCTACACCTGGCTTTGGGACCACGTACCCTCCAGCACCCCAGCTCCATTGGGAGCCTCAGGAGGGATAACCAGATTTCTACTCATTCCCCTTTCACGCCCCACATCACGTAGAAAAATGGCATTTATCTTCTGTTTGTCTCTCCCTGGCATTGGAGAGGGCAGACTGCACATTTCACTAGGGTCCAAACAGAAGGGGCCAGGGCCTGGGCACATGCAGTTCCCTGAGGGGTCCATCTGGCCCAGTTTCCATTGAATAAAGTTCTGTTGACAGTTATGACACCCTGTGTGTGTATCCCTGCAACAGTGAGCTGTTGGTCAAGGTAATGGATGCTGCAGCAGGGTCTTTCAGTCCTGCTGCAGTCAGAAGTGTGATCTCTTGGGGACTTGGACTTAAACTGGGGGCTGAGGGAAGAGATAAGATAGGGTGGGAAGACTGTGCCATGGGCAGAGCCCATGCCAGACGTGGTTGGTTAGCACTGATCTCTGCCATTTGTGCCCTCTCTGGAAAAGCCTTCCCTATCTTTTCCATTTTTGCCAGAATTAAGCCCTAGTAGAGAGGAATGTGAACTTTTCCACCCCTTGAGTCAGCTTTCTTGGCTTTTCCTCTAGTGCCATTCTTCCCAGGAGGGAACTTGGGGTTCCTGCTGCCTGGTGTCCAATCTACCCTCTGATCCCTGGAGGAGCTGGTGCTTGTCTTTGTGTCTCTTGGCATAGAGTCTGGTGCTAGGATGGACTGGAGTATGGCTGCGGGATCTTGTGGTGAAGAGACAGCTGAAACCCAGGATGCCTGAGGCCTGTCACTAGCCACAGTTGGGGCCCAGCTCCCCGTATTGGGAACTGGCCATATCTGCCCTTGCGTGACCAGCCAGGGAGGAGGGGCACTGCCCCATAATTATATGTTACATCTAGGAGCATATGGCCTGGGACTGCCTTCTGGAAGGGGGGTGGGTCTCTGCTTGCTGAGTTGAGAGACTGACAAGCCCTGTGGGACTGACAAGCCCTGGTTTGTTAGTCATTGGATTGGGGGTGGGGCCTGGGCTGGGTTCTGAAGGTCAGGGGAGGGGAGCATTGAAGGGGCTTTGTGGCCAGTCTCAGACTTAGTGGCTCGGCCCACCCAGGCTATGCCCAGCACAGTGGGGTTGAGTTCCCCATTTCCACCTCAGAGTTGGGAGGCTTGAGGGAGGGCTTGGCTCTTTCTCCTCCCTTCCCCCAACCCTGGAGAGGAAGCTGAGCAAAGGGAGGCTTGGCTCCTTCCAGTCTGTTTAATGTGGGATAAACATTTTATGAGGGAAGATAAACTTCCTGAGCTGGGAGAAAAGGACCCCCTTTTCCTCCACCCCCATCTGGAATTCCTTTGGCAGACTTCAATAATACCCTTCCTCTCCCTGCCCAGTTACCCAACCTCATTGCTGCATTCTGGAGCTGGGGCACCCCCTTGTGGTCATCTCAGAAACTACTTATCTCTGGACACCTAGGGACACTCCACTTACCTGGCACGGGTGACAGAACAATAGCTTTCCAGTCATCTAGGGACCAGGCAAGCAGCCAGAGCAGCCATGAATGAAAATCCCGGGCTCTTTTTTGTTGGATCAGGGCAGGGATATGTGTGGTGAAGGCAGCTTCTGCCTGGTTCATTTGCCATCTTTGCTTTTTGTTTTTTTTTGTCAGTTGGCTGGTACAAGGATCAAATCCTGGACCTTGGTGTTATCAGCACTACTCTCTAACCAAATGAGCTAACTGGCCAGCCCCCCTCACTTGTCATCTTTGAGTTAGAAAAAGGCACCCCTTTCTCTGGGTGGCCATAGCTCCACGCCAGTAGAGCACACCCAGACACTCCTGTTCACAATCTAGGAGGCAGCTCTGGGGAGCAGTTCTTCCTACACCTGGGCCTGCTCCACCTACCCTGTAGCTCCATCCCGCCCATGAACCCTCCCTTGTGCTTAAGCACCTGCCCCCTATAACCTTCAGAAACGGCATCCCAACCACTAAAGAAGAAAAGCTGAAGCCAGTAGGAGGGTTTTTTAGATTTAATGAGTGATCTCTGAGAAAAGGGCCAGCCCTGGGAGGAGGTGGGATGGAGGAGGACCCAGAGAAGCAGAAGACCAGAAAGAGAGCACCCCACCTTGGGGTCCTGGGCCAAAGCAGCTGGGGTACCCACACTTGCCAGCACAGCACACGCCTTTGGTCTTGGGCAGAAATCCAGTCACTGCCCCATGCCGTCAGCCCTGACCTCAGACAGCCTCTGTCCCCGTTCTTTGCCAGCCGCAGGACTGAGAGGCCTCTACCTCACCTCCTAGTCATTCACAATATTCCAGGGGGGCCAGCCCTCCCGGACGATGTGGCTGTCAGTGTCACACCCTCAGAGAGCGCGAGCTCACTTTCCAGTGGGCACTAAGCGAAGACTGGGGAGCTGTGCCAGTCAGAGTACACCAGAAATCCAGAGAAGGTGCTGTCTGTCTTGATGCTGGCATAGATGCCAATGTAATCACCCACGCCCACCTGCACCCACACCTGGTCCTCGGGCTCCAGCCTCACCATGGCGCCCCCTGAGAGCGAGGCTGGCTTGGGCCATCCCCCGAAAAACTGGAAGAAAGAGGCGATGGATTCGCCATTCTTGACCAGATCGAACTGCAGGCTGGCCCGGTAGACGGTGGCGTGGACCGCGAAGTAGTAGACCCCGGGCACCTGGCAGGTGAACTTGCCGGTGGCGGCGTCGTAATGTCCCTGCTCGTTCACCAGCACGCGGTCGAAGGGTAGGGGCGCGTCGGACGGCGGAGGCACCCGGCTCTCACCCCGCTTGGCGCTGAAGGCGGAGCGCGGAGGCACCGAGCACTCCCCCGCAGGCCCGGTCGCCCCCGCGGGGCCC